TTTTCCAAATTTGATTGCGTTTTCATTGTGTGTATTGAAATGGTTGTCACCAGTTGCAGTCATTCTTTCATTTTTTACTTGGTTTCAGTTTGATTTGGATTTATATACCTTCAGACTACTCACATGGGATGTAAGTAAATCTTAATTACTTACCTTAGTATATAATCTAAAAACAATGCCAATTTTTGATTTTTCAGATACTTTTTTGTGCATTTGCTTTATCAATTTTTATATATTCCACGACGCTAATGCTAACAATGATATTGAGCATTTGTTACGGAGATTCCATATCGATTGCCGTAGAAGCTGCCAATAAAAATTTATGTGTGTCGATATACATATTTCACACGCTGTACAAAGTGCAAGGTGACTTTGCTGATGTGTTTCCGAGTGCTGTTCTTATTGCTACAACTTTAATATTCATCACTCATTTTATTTGGAATTGTATCAGGTTATTGATTATATTAACGAAAATTGAAAACAAACAGTTAACATTTCAACAATTAACATTTTTAGGGCGTGGCTCAATCCAACTATACCTTATGAAAGCTTGGAATAAATTCTTTGAGTGATGATTTAATACAAATTTATATTAACATATTTAATAAAGTGTTGTTTTACCTTAGAACTAAATTACCGACTAACTAGGGGAGAGAAACCAATGCTAGTTTTTCTAGTTTATAGCTAATTTACTAGTTTTTAGCTAATTTACTAGTTTATTGCTTGAATAATCTAATAAGGCTAATATTCTTTTATGAAATTGCTAGTTTTCTAGTTTTTTGTTCTGTCAAATGACAATCAAATGATTGTACTGACACAATGAAGTATTTTGACGTTTTGTTGTTCAGACATATTTTTATGTGTTTTGAATAAATATACACTTATAATAGTGAAAATTAGTTTAATTATTCTTTTTTAACACAAAATCGTGCATAAAGTACTTGTTTCTTTCAATAGTCGACTTGTAAAATTGATTTAGTCACCAAATCATGGCAGAATATCAAAATGGCGGATCAAATAATTTTTGCTAATTTTTCTAGTTTTTGCTAGTTTTCTTCTAATTTTCCTAGTTTTTACTTGAAATATAAAAAACTAGCTAATGGTTTCCGTCCCCTAGCCGACTAATATTCCATATTTATGTGTAATTATGATTAACCACGAAGATAAAGAATAAGAAAAAATAGAGAAGGAAATATAGTTAGTATCTGCTAACTGTTTTGTATTTATGGTGGTGACTTCTTTGATAATAAAGAGATTTATTTTGTTCACAATAACAATATGACGGAAAGTATGTTACCGAGCATAGGTTTAAAGCCAAAATACAGGCAAAACTTCAACACTCATATCTTCTCAACATTATTTATTTATTTATTCACCGTCTGATCACAGACTGATTTTATCACAATTATTTACAATATCATTTGCAATGAAACACTACCCGATCGAATCCCAGCCGCCAGTCTTTTCGACTTTGGAGCAGCAGATATCGACTGTGTCCATTGTAAATTACTATATTCATAACACAATTTTTCTTGGTCTATTTTACAACATTTTTAGAAATAACATTTTTTTTAAACATTTTTAGAAATAACCCCCCTTGAGCCATTAGAATTTTTTAATGGTTTTGACATATTAAAGCTATTTGTCCGAAGATTTTAACGATCTGCTAGCTTGATCATTTTTTCAACTACATAGCCAAGTTATAATATTGTTTCGTTATTTCGTGTATCTGTTTACATCGTGAGACAAATCAACTACTTTATTTAATAGATATGTTTTTCGTGACACTTTAGAAATTAATTTCAATATTTTTCAATAAACCTTTCGCTCACAGCTCAAGGACTCAACTTTGCACTTTAAAAGCAGCTAAATTTGATCCAAAGGCAAAAATCGTGTGATAATTTCAAATAGTCAAGCAGAACTGCTTATATTTGGTTAATAAAAATGTTGAAATTATTTGCTGCTTTGGTTTTGTGTATCCACGTTGGATCGTCACAGCGGTAAATTT